TGTTAAGATGCTACATTATTAATTATTCTGAATAGAATCATTAGAAATGTGACTTGAAAGAATTGAGACGTTTGTCATATAAAAATATGTACTAAGGTTAAAATTATTTTCTAAGACGTATAAACTAATTATTTTATTGTTATTTTGTATAATTAAGATATATTTTTTCTTAGAGAAAGTCCAGTTATAATATCCATAGACATGTACATTGTACTTGTGATAGTTTTCTACCAAATATAAAATGTTTCTGTATGTTCGCAATGAGATGCCTCTGTACGGCCTTTTTACAGTGTCGTGATCCATTACTCACGTTTAATGGGCCGCTCTCTCAGGCGATATTCCTAATTTATAGCCACATTTCGTAGATATTACTGTGGCGAAGTTATCTTTTATCTCAAATTTTCTCATACTTCGAAACCGCTGTCATAAATACTTATCTAAGATTAATAGACGTATATTATTTAATATTATAATTTATTTTTATTCTAACGAGACTTCAAATTATATGAATATAACGTTGTTAGATTTTTTTTTCATTTTTATTCTTCATAGTTTGTGCTCTTCTGTATTTTTACCCGGTCGACGCAACTAATTTACCTCAACGTTATTTTGCTTACGTTTCTTGAAGTTCCTCATAAAAGTTTATTTAAACAAAAAAGATTTACGGAATGTTTAATAAAAAACAAAACGTACCTAATGAAATAATAAATAGTAGTGAAAAAATTGTCAAAACTATCTAATTAGTAGTTTAAATTCATTGTATATTACTATATAGTAATCGATTTCTTAAGCGTCATATTCGTTGGTCACATTTAAGTAAATATTAACCAAGCTGTTATCAAAGAGCCTCGTCGCTCAAATAAATTACTTGTTACTATCAATATTTATTGGAACGTTCACATTTAATTTGTGGCTAGTAATTAAAACAGTGTTCAGTAAGAGGCGGTGCTGTAAGATAACGGCTGGCAATGGAGATATGTACAATGTTTGTCACACTTCCCATATCTCGAAACTTATGTATCCTTAGAATAAGTTTTCATTGTTACACTATACGTAGCGTTAACAGTTTTTCATTCATAAATCTTTATACATCACAGTATTTACGAAGGCGAATGAGAGACGGGTCAAACTTCGTAGAGCGACGAAGAAACTTGGACTATGGTCTATGCACGACGACATACTTGTATTAAACTTCTTATTGACTGTTATTTATATTTTATGTTACTTATAATCATACCTATATGTATATTTATATCTAATTCTAAAACAAACTATCCCCATTAATATAAAAACGGGCGCATATAAACCTTTCCTTGATATTAATGTCAGCTATTAATCAGTGCTTATTTTCGTCGGAGCTTGTTAATTCGTTAGCAGATGAAAAGTTAAGCTATTAAGCGAATATTTCTTGTCGGTTTTTTCAAGAGCCCTCTTAATCTTGTAACAGGGAAGACAAATTGTTGCCTCTTAAAAATTAATTTGAAAGAATACGCCCTTTGAAACCGTTTTTCATTGTCATAACGTTATTTCTTTTATAACTGTTAATAAGTTACTCGCTACTGTTATGATTAAATTAAAATTTGTAATAAATATTACTATAACATAAACTAAAACTATATTGAATTATTTATAACAAATGTTCCTTGTTCTTATGTAAAATTAGAAATGAACGGCGCCAAATAAACTTGTCAATTATGACAGTCGCGTTATCGTGTGTCGATTTACTGTCTCCGAGACACCTTGTCCTTCCATTTAACTGTTACAACGCTGTAAATTCAAGTGTTATTGTCACTGACATTAATATTAACGATTATTGTTCGACATGGCACCACTGATAAGTGACTATAAAAACTTGGAGATACGTATTATGTGGATGCGGTAAATTGTTTAGGCTTCTTATAAAATATTCAATTTATTCTGTATTGTAAAGAAAATAGAGTTATGTGCTTTATTTTTGTTGAGATGATACTTTTGTTATTGATTTTAGCTTTATGAATTCAGTTTTATGAGTTGTTGATGTACCTAATTTATTAAATGCTTATGTTTAAACTTATCAAAGGGCAGTTCTTGAGTTATTGAAAAGTTTCGTAGTATGTGCCGACATCTCACTGCTTTGTTTATTTTTTTTTGATTAATTCTATTAACCGTGGTGTTTTTTCTCACATATCTAGAAAAACATTTTGTCTTGTTATAAGTAGAATTGTTAATTGTAATAGATAGGCACAAAAATGTGTTCTTTCTTGATCGTTAAATTATCGTTGTACTTTTACTACCTGCTTCATAATGTATTTCATAATTTAGTTTATGTATTTTAAAACCACAATTACATAACGTCAGAATGATTTTTTGCATTGTTTTTCTCAATGAAAAAATATTTTAATAAATCAATAATAGCATCTAATTAAAAAACTCCTTTATTCGTGTTACTAGAGCATCATTTCACATTTTATCATGTATATAAATGTACACTGTTTGGTGACATGCATATATTTTTTAATACTTCGAATGATTCATTGAAATTTATTACATCATAAATAAATTTGTCAACGACAAACATTATTTTTATTGGTGTTAATGATCTCGTGAGGCCGTATTGTTAAAGTTTATCAAAGTTACAAAAATATTCCGAGTTTCATAGCATTAGATATTAATTTATTTATATTTATATACATTTATAATATATGTAACATCGTTATATGTTATAATTGATGAATTTCCAGACTCGACGTTCGTCACGTCACCACGTATTTATGAAATGCCATTTATAAAACTCAATTACTCGCAGTCGCCGCGCTCCCTAATAATGATAATTGATGATGAAATTTGCGAGCTTTTTGCGGAGCGATCCTTTCCTGCTATATTTCTTGTTAAAATGCACGTTTCCGTTGTTCAATTTGTATGTAAATAACGTCATTGGATTACTTTTGACTATATTATAACATTTAATTTTATCAAATCTGATAATAGAAAGTTTGACGTTACAAATCATTTTGAAGTTAAGAATCTATTGTGACTCGCATATTAACAATTTATGCGTAATTGACAAGTTTGCGAGTCGAAGAATATTTGAATTTTTTTTGAGAAAATTTCAATGGAAATCAAACGCAAATAAAAAAGCATACAATGGAAACTCACAAGCACATCTCACAGTATTTCTTCATAACAGTGGCCCTGTTTAATTTATAAATCGTTTCACGACTGATTAAAAACTCTTCTGAAAAATTTACGATCGTCGACTAAGACGTCAGTCGCATCCCGCATACTTCGTCGTAAAAATTAATAAATTTTTAAAAACCAACTGATTGGTTCGGGATGATAAGTGTTTTGTTGATGTATGGGGAAATTAAATTGGCTCCTTTATAATGTCGTGGGTATGTTTTTATTAAGTCTCGTGTTATTGATGTTTTAAATATATTTGGCTTTTAATATTGAATTATGTCAACGAAACAAATTTTTGGTTTCTCATCTTTTGGTTATGACGTTTTTATAATAGAGGATGTGAAAAGAAACATATACCTAATGTTATTAAAAAGTTAAATGTTACATGATATTGAAGTGTGCATCCTCATGATAAAGTCAAAAAGGGTGATTTGATAAAAATTTGATCAAATTTCGGAAGGCTTCAGATTAAACATAATTATTACAAGAGTTACAAGGTCCATGGGGATCCGATAACCTCAATTTTCCTGGACAAATTATGACGAACAAGAACGAAATGATCATAATAGGCAGTCGAAGGAGGCCCGCGGGGCTCATAAATCCAGAGATAAGTGCAGCGAGCAGCGTAATTCTGGTTATTAGTTTCTCCCTCCTTGGAAATGATGACTGGGCAATGCCTTACCTTGGTTTGCCCGCCGGGCGAAACGTTGTGAAGACAAATGTGAGCCTATAGATAATATAGCAAGGTTACAGAAACTTATGTGCTCTTTATTAACACAGCTTGTACCTATTTTAGCTTTAGCTACTACCGTATCTAGACACTTTGATAATACAAACTGCACCTACCAAAGTTATTACACATAAATATGCCACCAAAGTAAAGTGAAAATCACCTTCGTTTTTATCAATGTCAAACCATCGTTCTTAAATCAATCCATTTAGCACATTATTTAAAATCCGATATCACGAAGACGGAGCAAAATGTCGGCGATGAAGTCACATTAAGTTAAAACAAAAACGAATCGCCGGCAGGCGTTTACTTGATTGAGAGGGTTAAAAGTGCTGCAAATTACAGGTTGGGCTTTGACGTGTGATTACATGTTGCCTGTCGTGCCTTACGTAACGAGCCTGGCTTGCGGACGATTGACTTTGAATGCACTTCATACATCACGATATAGGGACGGAATCAGTTTACTGAATGCTTAGTTTCAAATACCTACCAAAAATATGTTATAGAATTATTCAAATTGAATATAATCTTAGACTAATACTTTTAAATGGTACAGTTTAACGACTGAAATATTATGGCGCTCTTGTTTAAGTGATAGTCGGTTTTAATAAGATAAAGAAAAATTATTCAAAGTGAAACGAAATTACAAATGAGTCCGACGTTAAGTCGGAAACGGGCGAGTAGTGGGACGAACCGACAATCTATCATTAGCAAAGTGCAGCTCTGTCGAGTTATGACATTTATATTTCGGGTGCATGTATATTATATAGTTATCAAAATCGTATAACAAAATTATTATTTACAGTTGTAATATAATGAAACATTAAAACATTGATAGAAAACTATATTTTTCTTTTAATAATATAAATACAAAGGAAACTGTTTGCTTGTTACATTCATGACCAAGGTTTTCGGACGACAAACATATTGTTTATACTATTATACTTTTATGTTAATTTCTTTTGTACTATTAGAAATAATATATTCACTAATAGGTTGTTTAATTCTGTTTTAAAACCTCAGAACTTAGTTAGCTTTGAGAGTGAGAGTCATAAAAGAAATAGTAGCTCGTTTAATTATTTGAATGTCCTATATAATACTTATTTAAAACATGGGCAAGAAGAACCATGACAGTAACACGCATAATAACAATGAAGATGGAAAAAGCGACAGTGAAAGTGATTACTTGGAAGATTCTATTGGTGTTATGGGTATCTGGCAAATATATGTTTGCGTTGTAGCAGCATCTACTAGATTTATAGGTATGGGAAATATGTCGATAATAGTGTTTCTGACACCGATAACTGATTTTATTTGCATTGAATTCAAAGAAAATACAAATATGACAGCTGAGAAAATGGCGTGCTATGATAATTGTGTGAAATATGAATATAATTCTGTCTCCATGGAACAAACTATTGTGACGGAATTCGATTTGATTTGTGAAAGAGAATGGATGGCGAGTTTTGCTCAATCTGTTATAATGTTTGGGCTTGTTATCGGAGTATCACTTTTTGGTTGGATATCTGACAGGTAAAAATAATATTTAATTTTATTAGTATTAGTATTTTATTTTATGACTTGAAGTCCTTAACGTATTCTTTCATTATAAAGAAAATATCTAACATTTTAAGGTTTGGACGACGCGTCGCTCTTTTATCATCGACAATTCTGAATATAATATCAATGGTGTCCTCGGCATTTTCTCCGGATTATTGGATCTATAACGGGCTAAGGTTGATTATGGGTATTGCGACTGGTGGATCTATTATAGTATGTGTGCCATACGTGATAGAAATATGCAGTAAAAAATATAGAGAAGTAGCTGCAGCTCTTATAACTATACCCGACTGTCTGTCAGAACTATCTTTATCTTTATTTGCTTATTACTTTCCGACATGGAAATCTCTTACACTCGGATTTAGTTCTGTGTCTGTGATAATTCTGTTGTTAGTTCTCACTGTACCAGAATCTCCAAGATGGTTGGTTTGTCACGGAAGAACAGAAGAAGCTATTTCTACCATAACGAAAGCTGCTGAATGGTAATGTATTACATGAACAAAAGTGGTACAAATGATGTTAAGGTTTATACTAATATACAATGTGGTAATATATTTTGCAGGAATAAACTAAAAACTGATCATATCAAAGACACAGTAAATAAGAGTGTTGGAGCGATAGCTCACAAAATTAACACTGATGTATCCGCATCATATTTCGATTTATTTAAGAAACCTCTAGCAATAGTTACCTGGTCCACAATATTTATTTGGGCCGTTGTTGGTACTAATTATTTTGGATTATATCAATACATGACATTTTTGGGAACTACTGTTCACACGACGGTGGTAATGTTAGCATTGCTTCAGGTAAAACCCTTTTTTTTCTCTTTTTCTTATTTTTAAATATGTCTATAATAATTAAATACTGTTTTATTTCAGTTTCCACTCTGTGTGTTTGTTGTATTATTGACAAAACGCTTCAGTAGAAAGCAAACCCTGATTGGTGTACTAGTTGCATGTGGTGTTCCAATGCTTATTCTGATTTTTACTCCTAAAAACCACTGGGTTAGTAGTACTTTAGGGGTCATAGGATTTTCTGCATGTCATATCGCCTTTGGGGTAATATACGTTTATCATGGGGAGTTATATCCGACGAGCCTAAGAAGTATGGCTTATGGAATAACGTCGGGTACAAATAAAGTAGGTGCGATGGCGTCCCCTTTCATAGCTCGAATTTCACCATCTTGGATCCCATCATCTATATTTGCATCACTGTCATTTCTAGCAGCTGCCTTTTGTTTTCTGCTGCCTGAAACAAAGGGAAATAATTTAAAGGACACTGTAGACTAGTATCAAGTAAGAAAAATTTTTTTTGTTAGAAAAACTATACGAAAACTCATTGTTATGGTAATGTGATTGTTATTTCAAGTTATAGTTAGTTAATAAATATATGTCGAGAAACCTTTTGTGAATTTATTAAGTTTTTTGTTATAAACATATTACAGAACAATACAATCGATATTGTTGATTTTACAAATCTATCCGATTATTTAACCATAAAATATCTTCGAGGACTTCTTTGTACATTTGGTGTGAGTAGCAGAAAATCACTCGCAAATTTCCATATTTTTTTATAAGAATCCATAAGTTTACGGCAAATTGTAAGACTTTGATGAATAAATTAGAAAGAGAAATCTGCTGCGTCAATCTGTCAAGTGCATCAATATCTAGTTCTGAGAAAATCTTAGCTATACATACGTTACACGCTATTGTTGAACTTGCACGTGTGCAATAAAAATGTATTTACGAGAAAGTTAGGCGCCATAAGATAGCAATTATATATAACATTTGTGCGCAAAATATTATTATTTTACTTCTCTCAAAGACGTTTATAAGTGTCCACAAATTACGTTCATTAATTGGTTCTTGTTATTTACAACTCAAAAATACCTCAAGAACAATATTAATAATAATTTATATGTTATTTACGTAGGACCACAATATCTTTTCACACTCTATAAATACTTCAAATTATCTGAAGTTGACTAGGACATAAGTTCTATTTACATGTGACAATTTTATGTATTTTGTACACTATTATCAACCTATCATAATTGTTTAAGATATGACACTTGTTCTTGAAAAATAAACATTATTTATGGGGTGAAAAATCTTGTTACATTCAAAGTGTCAATTGATAAGAGGAACGAAGTAATGGGGGTTATCTGCTAATTCCTTATCACAAAGTAGGCGGGTATTACTAAAGAAATATTGACCGAGATAAAAACAATCATCACGAGCATGTACTGACAAATTTACGATGACATTTATAGTTATGATTTATAACGCGTGTTTACTAATAATTGCGACATTATACTTGTATCATGAACCGGGATATTTCTGTCGTCTTTATAATTATATAAGAATTCTCTTTGTAAACTTTTCATTTATTAGATAACCTAATTAAATTTTGTATATATTTACAAGTTTTAGATGCTTTTCACAGTATTCATAAAGTTTAACATTGAGGATTGGATTTTATAACTGATTTAATTTCAAGATATAGAACAGCATCGCTTGTAGTCAGTAGATAGTTTTATAATACTGATCTATTTATCTATTTATTGACTATAGCTATATGAAAATATACATTTGTGTGTTTAGTTAATATATAATGAAATCAATAAAACATAAACCGATTCGCATTATCTTATACCAGCTCAAGTGGTTCTGAAAACTGCAAACGGACTTAACTCATTGACTTTATAGTTCCCAATCTATACGTCATGTAAATTGACGTCTGGGGAGAGGCGGTGCGTTTGATGCTGTGTCAAGCGACTAAGTGGTTAAAATGAGTGAATTAGAACGCTCGATGGGTTGTCTTGTACTGTTTTTGTTAACTTTCTCAGGACTTGTCATGACTTATGTTTTGTCTAATGGATTATGTATCGGTGAAAGTAAATATAAATTAAAACCAATGTTCTAACAAGTATAGTTTTGATAAGTATTTTTTTGTTTTGCATGACAAAATTATCTATATCATTAACAAAATAGATTATAGATAGATAAGTCATTATTGAAATTATTACCAAAATAACGACTGCTTTTTACAATACATACCAACAAAATTTAATATATGTATTTCCCTCTAAGATACTTCGATAGTTTTTGAATCTATACTTTAGATGCTATCTCTATTTTGATAAAGCTTTCTAAATGCAATTGTCTTGAACAGCCTTGGAACAAGCCCTGTAATATTGCTGCTGCAATCTGGATCTTTTAAGGCTCATAAAGTCCTAGTTCGTGATCTGCGGGATCGAGACTGGTAATTTGTATCAATAACCTGTTATTTGGCGCAGTTTTATAAACGGTACCGAACAAAGAATGCCTCGTTTCGTATTGACTGAAGGGAGCAAAAAAAATTTGACGGCACAAGGATAAGTGTTCTTCAATTATATATTGATTAGATACATTTGGCTATGTATGATATCATTATTTATAAATTATAATTATGGCTTACGAAATTTTGGAAGGAATTTTATTTTTGTTGTTTATTGCGTTAATTTGAACTTTTGGAAAAGTATGCAGTAGCTGATGCTATTGGATTTCTTCTGATGAAACTTTCGTCTCTTTGTATGTTAAAGTAATCTTATTAATTTTTCTGAAATTACTTAAACTTGACAGTTCCTAAATGCAACGTACATATACCAATTAATGTAAGCTTGTAATTGTCTTGTATGTCGTTTAAAAATAATTATAGTTACCTACAATATATGTATCTTGTAGTACGTTATTCAATGTTATCCTTTTCGGGAACATTGTACGTCAATTTTAATGTAATTATATGTTGTTAGTACTCGATGGCCGCACAAGCTGACGGAAATGGTGTGTGTGAGGTGGCGACGCTCAACATCGAAATGTTTACGTGATTGTGAATGATTAATAATGTGACATGAGTTTCCTAAGTGATCCTTTACCGAAATATTACTAATAACATATGATTTCTATATTAAGTTCTATTAATACATAAAAAGGTCATATGAATTGTGAAATAACTGAGACAAACTATCAAATTGTATACAAAACTATTCATCTCTAATAATTCTCTCTTTAAAATGTAAATTCAAGTCATGAACCGAAACCTGCTATAATAAATTTGCGAGGTGCTTTATAAGGACGCCAGTATCTGTGGGTGATGCAAAAAACAATTATAGTTTAAATTCTGGAAGGCGCACACCGTCGGTGGTCTAAACATATTGTTATTCAGGTCGCCTTGGAGATGTTTGTCGTTTGACGATTTATAAGGACGTGGTCGATTAAACAAATATTGTTTGTTAATGATTTAACCTTTCAAGTTGCGCAACCGTCCCTTAATGGTGAAGCTGCATTCTGTTCTTCTTCGTTCCATATTTTGTTATATACAGAATGAACAGTCTTGTTAAATAACACGGTTCAAATATCGGTAGTTATCTAGTTCTTGTAGTGATAAAAGTTTTCGTATGATTACAACGCCACTAATCCGACCGTTCCTATTCATGGGAACACTCTCAATGACCGTAGAGTTGTAGACCGTGGATCCCTGGGTATCATCGACCCGGCCTTTTAATGTCGTACATGTTCGGAATACACTGTGTGATTGTCAAACATTAAGGTTAATTGACGTGTTTATAGAAACATATATAGAATACATTGCTATTATATATACCTGATTCCTAAGTGTCTTCATAAATTTATTTCTTTTAATCTTTGGTTTTCGGTTTTGCTAACAGTTTTAAATGCTGATTTATACTTGTAACTTCCAACGCAAAAAGAGGGTTCTTGTAAGTTTGACGTGGATGTCTGTTTGTGCATCTGTCTGTGACATTACAGCTCTTTAACTACCTATTTTTTGTGTTTTTTCATTCGAAAGCCGATTTTTAATTCAGATTTTCTATGGTCGTTCTTACCTATGTTTGTTTAAAATCGTTCCAACGGTATAAATTCAAACAAGAGAGACATTTCTGCCACTTATGGCGTCTGATTATTCCATTAATAGTAAAACCTATTCAAATATAATAATCGATAAAAGAAAATAAATGAGTAGTGAATTTTTTATATTAAATTTTTTATAATATATAAATTCTCTTATGTATTTTCGGAATATCAAACTATTTTATTAATTACAAATAAAGAGTAATCGTTAACATACGTTATCCTTAACAAAAAAATTGTATATATATACATATACTTTTGTTCTAAAATAGATATTTACTAGATAGTTAACATCAGTGTATTATAAATCTTTATCTAGCAGTAGTTTCCTGTAATCCGTTGTAATCTTGTTTGATCCTAATTAAATCACGCGTATAATTTGGGTTCTATATTATGTTAAGTTTACGAGCTAAGTTCGGACAGACAGTTGTAAACGTCATTCATATACAGAGTTAAGTTTCAATGTTTTACGATATTTTTATGAACTGACTGTGATTTGGTAGTAATATATCAGAAAGTTTAGTTTATTTTAGATATTTTTTTATATATAAAAATTTGTATAAATTTGTTTTCATAATAATTACAATAACTTTGTCTAATGCGTTGATCAAAATCGTTATCGAATATTTTAATTTTAATGCGAGGTAACTATTTGTATTTATAGTTTAAAACAATTATACAATTTCTATTTTAAAACTAAAATATTTCTTGGCACATATATTATATAAATAATTCCATAATATTGTAAAACACATTCAAGAGTTATTAACCCAAAACTGTTATATTCAACATAATTTATTTTATTACTATATAAAAGTTAAATGATGGCTCTCTTGTTTCTATCGCTGCGTTGTTTGACATTTCATAATGGATAGTTTTATAAGCTATAAAATATTAATTACGTGTGTTTTCATATATAATTTTACGACTTAGGAAATATACAACGATCTTTATAACATAGTTTGTATTTTAAGTGGGTTAAGATTTTATATGAACGAATTTAACAACTGTTTAATATAGTTTGCAGCGTTTTCTAAAATTAATATTCATGGAGGAAACTATAACATATTTATCTTATTACATGAAATGATAATTATTGTTTGGTAAGCTATTCGCAAATAAATTAATAAAAATATATCGACAAAATTTTGCTTGAAATTAGTGTCTACTATAATGATGTAAGTGATTAATGGTTTATAAAAACACTGTTTGATAAATCTTGGATCTGTTTCTAGCGTTCTTCTGTGATAATGTAATATTGAAATAATATCTTAAGTGAGTGTAGACACACCTTTAGCGGAAAGTTGTCACACTTGGATGTCGAACGTGTTCGTATAATTTTCCCATTCAATGATGTGAAATCGCATCTCGATGTTTCA